ACCCGACCAGCAAGAAGCCAAGTGCAGTGTGTATTGTTTTTTGGCAGGGATGGCGGGGGGAGTGCCCTCATTGTCCCTGGGTTGTCGCCGCTCGGGTGGGGGAGCGGGTGTGTCTATTGTCAAGACGCCCTCCCGCCCGCAAGCCGTCTCGCTCACTCCCACCCGCCCTCCCAACACATCCGTAGCACCCGAGCCTGGCCCGAACCGCAGCATATGCAGCAGTCGTCTCTGGATGGGCAGCTACTGGGGGCGCATCCGCCGCCGCCGCCGCCTCCGCCGCCGCCCCCGCCGCCCGCCGCCGCCGCCGCCGCGCCGCCGCCGCCGCCGCCGCCGTTGCCCGCCGCCGCCGCCACCGCCGCGCCGCCGCCGTCGCCGCCGCCGCTGGCGCCGCCGCCGCCCCCCGCTGCCGAATCGCCGCCGCCGCAGCCGCTGCCGCTGCCGCCGCACCGCTGCCGCCAGCTGCCGCCGCCGCCGCCGCAGCCGCCGCCGTCGCCGCTGCCGCCGCCGCCCCCGCCACCGCCGCCGCCACCGCCGCCGCCACCGCCGCAGCCGCCGCAGCCGCTGCCCCCGCCGCAGCCGCCGTAGCCGCCGCTGCCGCCGCCAAGAGTACTTTGTAGTGCTTTTTGACAGGGATGGTGGGGGGTCGCATCGGGTTGGCTGCGCATGCTCCGAATTTGGAGGCAGAGTGTGGTTTGTATGGTTTTTTTGCAAGGGATGGTTGGGGGGTGCCCTCATGGACTCGGGTTGGCTCCGCCGCCTGGGGGAGGGGGTGCGTATTAATAGGGAACAGTGATTGAGGAGCAGTGATGAGCCCCTCTCCCGAGCATGCGAAGGAGGGGCTCTGGAAGAGGGAGAAGCACCCTTCTGTATCACACCTTCGCCCAGGGGGCCTGTGGGATCCGTGGGCCCCGGGGGCGCCTGGAGAGGGTCGGCATGCAGCGAGCGGGTGACGAATAGGGCCTCTGGCCCCCTGCCTTGGCCCTCCCGCTCGCCCCGTCTGCTTCCCGGCGATCGCGCCGGATGGCGCCGGGCGGGGCCGCTTTCGCTGGGGGCGACGTTCCTCCCAAGGCGGCTCTCTCCCCTCTCCACTGTCAGGGTCTCGTGTCGACGTTCCCTCGCCGTGCGTTGAGCAAGGCAGCGGCTGGGGAGTCGGGCAAAGCCTCCAGCGCTGCGTAGCCGTGCGCCGAGTTGGCGACCCCGCTCGGTTTCCCCTTCCCCTTCTGGCGGGGAGGCGGAGGAGTTGCTTTGCTGGCTGCGAGGCCACGCTCAAAGGCCGCAGCAGAGACCCCCCGCCCAGTCAACGCAGGGTCGCTTGCGTTTGCCCCCCCCCCCCCGGCCCCCCCCGGGCTCGCGGCCACCTGCCAATCGCAAACATGGATCAAGGGGGCGTTGTGGATTAGCGACGGGTCCCACTATCATGGGGAATCGCGGATTTCCGCTGCCGAACGAGGCGGCACTCGCCGTTTTTCTGCGCGCCAAATCAATGGATCGCTAATCCATGTTTGCGCGCCCCCGATTTACAACGTGGACGCCCTGAGGGTCTCGACCCCTGCTCTGGGGACCTGGTTTTCGTCGCGTCGCCCGCGCCACGAGAGCTGTCTGAGCTATCACCGGGCGTCTTCATACTCCGTGGCAAGCATCTGGACGCTTGCCGTCGCAGAAAAACACAGCTCTTCATCCCGTGTTTTGTTGCCGAAAGCGGTCAAAAGCCTGCGGTCGTGAACGTGTCACGACGCGTGGGGGTTTGGTTCAGGGACCTCAGAAATCAGTCCCTGGACCTGTCCCCGGGTGCACTCCGATGAAACAATCGAGGGAAACCCAGCCACGGCAATGAGAGGCCTCCAGGAGGTACAACACATTGGCGTGGCAACGCCTATATGTATGTATGTATGTATGTATGTATGTATGTATGTATGTATGTATGTATGTATGTATGTATGTATGTATGTATATGCATATGTATATATGTATGCATGCATATATATATATATATGCATGTATGCATGTATGCATGTATGTATGCATGTATGTATGTATGTATGTATGTATGTATGCATGCATGAATATATGCATGCATGCATTCATGCACGCATGCATGTGTGCATGTCTGTGTGTGTACATGTATGTATGTATGTATGTATGCATGCATGCATGCATGCATGTATGTATGTATGTATGTATGGATGTATGTATATACGAATATATGTATGTATGTATATATATATATATATATATATATATATGTATGGTTGCATATATATGTATGTATGTATACATGCATGTATGTATATATGTATGCATGTATGCATGCATGCATGTATGTATGTATGTATGTATGCACGTATGTACGCATGTACGTCTGTATGTATGTATGCATGCATGTATGTATGTATGTAAGTAAGTATGTGTGTATGCATGTAGGTATGTAGGTATGTAGGTATGTAGGTATGCATATATGCATGTATGTATGCATGCATGTATGTATGTACGTACGTACGTATGCACGTATGTACGTATGTACGTATGTACGTATGTAAGTCTGCCTGTATGCATGCATGCATGCATGCATGCATGCATGCATGTATGTATGTATGTATGTATGTATGTATATATATATATATATCTTACGGTGCTGGTCAAGGGGTTCAATCCTCTTGACCGCTGCCCCGGGGGTAGGTGTTCGCCCCAGATGCATGTTTGATTCAACTGGCCCTGGCCTAGAAACCAGCCCCCCTGGGGCGCAAACGCAGAAAAAGCCCGCTGCGACAGAACGGACACATCCGCCGGAGGTCGGCGATTCGATTCTCCCTCGATCCTCCCTCCGCGACAGAATAGACAAGTCCGCCAGAGGTGTGGGATCCTCGATTCCCCTCGATCCTCCCTCCCCGCAGATCCGACGTTGCGAACACATGGCAACCTCGCCGAACATTACGAGCGGAGCCCTAAGCCCAATGATTCTGCTGCATTTTTCGAGTCCTGGATCGATCTATGCGGGCGCCTGGGGCCCGGAACATCTGGCAAAACTTAGCCTGGCGAAAAACCCAACCATCTGCAGTTGTGGGCACCGTCGTTGGCACCAGATTCGGTGGGGCTCCCTATGGGGCCCCGAAGCGTGTGAAGTGGCGTGCCAAAATGGGTGCGGTGGGCGCATGCGAACGCTGGCATTTGGGCCTTCGGTGGGGCACCCTATGGGGCCACGAAACGTGTGAGGGGCGTGCCAAAATGGGTGCGGTGGGCGCATGCGAACGCTGGCATTTGGGCCTTCGGTGGGGCTACCTGTGGGGTCACGAAACGAGTGAAGGGGTGTGCTACAATGGGTGCGGTGGGCGCATGCGAACGCTGGCATTTGGGCCTTCGGTGGGCTCTCTATGGTGTGCCAAAATTGGTGCGGTGGGCGCATGCGAACGCTGGCATTTGGGCCTTCGGTGGGGCTCCCCATGGGGCCACGAGGCGTATGAGGGGCGTGCCAAAATGGGTGCGGTGGGCGCACGCGAACGCTGGCATTTGGGCCTTCGGTGGGGCTCCCTATGGGGCAACGAAACGTGTGAGGGGCGCTGGCGCGTGCAAGCGCTGGCATTTGGGCTTTGGGTGGGGCTCCCAGTAGGGCCACGAAGAGTTTGAAGGGTGTGCCAAAATGTGTGCGGTGGGCGCATGCGAACGCTGGCATTTGGGCCTTCGGTAGGGCTCCCTAATGGGGCCCCGAAGTGAGGGGTGTGCCAAAATGGGTGCGGTGGGTGCATGTGAACGCTGGCATTTGGGCCTTCGGTGGGGCTCCTTATGGGGCGACGAAACTTGTGAGGGGCGTGCCAGTATGAGTGCGGTGGGCGCATGCGAACGCTGGCGTTTGGGCCTTTTGTGGGGCTCCTCATGGGGCCCCGGAACGTGTGAGGGGCGTGCCAAGACGGGTGGGGTGGGCGCATGCGAACGCTAGCATTTGGGCCAAGATACGTATGAGTGGCGCGCCAAAGTGGATGGGGTAGGCGCGTGCGAACGCTGGCATTTGGGCCTTCGGTGGGGCTCCTTATGGGGTCACGAAGCGTGTGAGGGGTGTGCCCAAATGGGTGCGGTGTGCGCATGCGAACGCTGGCATTTGGGCCTTCGGCGGGGCGCCACGAAACGTGTGAGGGGTGGGCCAAAATGGGTGCGGTGGGCGCATGCGAACGCTGGCATTTGGGCCTTCGGTGGGCTCTCTATGGATCTACGAAACGTGCGAGGTGTGTGTGTGTGTGTGTGTGTGTGTGTGTGCCAAATTGGTGCGGTGGGCGCATGCGAACGCTGGCATTTGGGCCTTCGGTGGGGCTCCCTGTGGGGCCACGAAACGTGTGAGGGGTGTGCTACAATGGGTGCGGTGGGCGCATGCGAACGCTGGCATTTGGGCCTTTTGTGGGGCTCCCTGTGGGGCCGGCGCATGCGAACGCTGGCATTTGGGCCTTCGGTGGGGCTCCTTATGGGGCCACGAAACGTGTGAGGGGTGCGCCAAAATGGGTGCGGTGGGCGCATGTGAACGCTGACGCTTGGGCCTTCGGTGGGGCTCCCGATGGGGCTACGAAACGTGTGAGGGGTGTGCCAAAATGGTTGACTGGATCGGAGGCTAGAGGCAGGGATCGGAGAAGGAAGGGGAGGCGGGAGGGGGCAGCGGGAGGAGGAGGAGGAACGCGGGGCGCTGTCTCTTCAAAACGAGGACCCAACACCACAGGATGGTGGGGAAAAACGCCTCTCGATTTCTCCCCTCGATTTCTCCCCTCGACCCTCCCTCGATCACGGCCGCCGCGAGGGGTGCGCCAGCCCGAGGTCTCGGACCCTCGATCCCCCCTCGATGCTCCTCGGTCATCCCCTCGTTTCTTGTTTTGTTTTTTTTCCTCTCAATCCGCGGCCCCAGCTGCCCCGAACTCTTCCCCAGGGCTCCTCGTCGTCCCGGCCCTATTTCCTGTGATGGCCCCCGGGGCCCGAAGGCGGCCCCCCGAGGCCGCAGTGGGCACCCCCTCGCCCACGGCCGCGAGGAGTGCGCCAGCCCCTGCACCTGCGCGTCGGGGGAGGCCAGCGAGGCCCCCCTGCTGGCGGAGCCGTGCCGGCCGTCGCCCTGGTCGCTGCCGGCGGCGGACGCGGCCGCTCTCGAGGAGGGCCTGGGAGGGGGGGGGAGGCGGCGTGGGAAGGGGGGGGGGAGGGGCGACCCAGCTCTCCCGCGGCATGATCTTTCCGCGGGGCCTTTCTTCCTCCAGGTGTCGCCCCTCGGGGGCCGTCTCCGGGCCCCGGTGCCATCACACAGGAGTCGGGGACGAGCAGTGATCCCCGCGGGCGCGGTCGTCGGGACGCCCTAGGCCCTAAGGGCCGCGGATGGAAGTCGGCGGAGGAGTAAAAAGGGCAGAGCATCCGTGGAGGAAGAGGCATCGACGCCGCTACCCTTGCCTTTTTTTGGGGGGGGGGGTGCTCTTCGGGGGCCTCCTGGGAGGCCCTCGCCGCCACGGCCGGACCCGCCCCGACCTTTCTGCTGCTGTCAGAGCGCGCTCCAGGAGAGGTCCGGGGAGCAGCGGCATCGCTACCGCTTGGTTTCCCCAGAGGGCAGGGATCTGCGGGTGGGCCGGGGGAAGCGTCAGGGGGGGGAGGTGAGGCAGGCTCCGCGGAGGGGATGCTTCGAGGGGGGGCCCTGTTCCCATCCATCGAGTTTCGAGCTTTGCGGGCGTTTTCGTTGGGCCTCGGCGGTTTTCCAGACTCGGGGTGCCCTCCAGCGGCTGCGCCTCGCCGAGAGGCGGGCGGGGGTGCCCGTGTCGTCTTCGAAGGGCCGCCGGAGGCCAGAGCTGTGACCCGACAACCAGGCAGCGGGGATCACTGGGCGGGAGAGGCTCAGGGGGGTTTCATCGACCTCCACTCGCCCATGGATTGTTGATAGGGGCCCGATCGCCTATCGTCGGAGGCCTAGAGGTTGATACCAACACCAATACCGGCGGTGTGTCTCCACCAAGGGAAGATGATCCCGATCTCGGTGATGGTGTCCATATTCGCGCTTCCTAGGTGGCCGAAGCGTTACCACCAATGCCAGAATCTAGGATCATCTTCCCCCAGTGGAGGCAACCTCCTATGTTGGTGTCGGTGCCCATCTCCAAGCCTCCCCCAGGAGCGTGCGGATTCGCTGTCGTGGGCCTGTCGCGACGCCGTGTCTGCGATGCATCGCCGCTTCGGGTCGAGGTTGCCCCCCAGAGCCACGGGGATCCCTGGACGGGATAGGCCATGGGGGGGTTTCATCGACCTCCGACCGCCCACTGATCGCTGATATGGGGCCCGATGGCCCATCCTGCCCAGGAGCGTGCGAAGCTGTCGGGGGCCTGCTGCGACGCCGTGTGGGCGACATGCATCGCCGATGTTCCGGGTTGAGGTGGCCCCCCCCGGAGCCAGTCTCTCCCTGTGGTCGCCCTTCAGGGGGGCGGGGGGGGCCTTCCTCTTCGCTTCGCGGGGGCGAGCGGCAAGGGAGGAGGGAGGAGGGAGGCGGGAGGCGGCGCTGCCAGCCTGCAGCTGGCCCTCGGAATTCCTGTCTGCGGCGACGCCGATGCCGATTTGTTCGGCCAAAGCAAACCTCTTTCCCCAGAGGGGAGGGGGGAGGGGCAGGGAGGATCGAGGAGGAAGGATGGATAGGACTGGTACTTTGGCGGCTGATGTCCAGCACTTTTCCCGGGCCCTTCCAGATGGGTGAGCATAAGGAACATTAGGGAGGTGGGCGAGAGGAAATATCATAATTCGATAATTGTTGTTCTTCTTCTTTGCTTTCTTCATATCAATCGGCTCCTTTTTCTTATGATTATGATGCTTGTTCTTCTTCTTTTCGTTTTCTTTATTCTTATTATTCTTATTATTATTCATCTTCATCATCTTCTTCACATTATTCCCCAGGCAGTGTTCTTCTTCCAAACCCTCCTTGGTTGGATTCTCGTTTTGAATAGAGCTTTGTGGTCGAGTCTTCTCCCTCTACTCCTTCCTCCTCCGCACTCCTGTCTCTTACTTCCTGCCCCCTGTCTCCTCTTCGATCTCTTCTTCCTTTGTTCTTTCCTTCGGGTTGTGCTTGCGTCCCTGGAGGGCTGCGAAGCGCGCAACTGTCGCCGCTTTCGTGGGCTCCTGGGAGGTCCAGCGGAGTGGAGTGGTACGCGGACCCAGTGGGACCTCGCGGCGCCCTGCGTGGCTGAGAGGTGCGCAGCTGTCGCCACTTTCGTGGGCTCCTGGGAGGTCTAGCGGAGTGGAGTGGTACGCGGACCCAGCTGGGACCTCGCGGCGCCCTGCGTGGCTGCGAAATGCGCAGCTGTCCTCACTTTCGTGGGCTCCTGGGATGTCGCGCGTAGTGGAGTGGTACGCGGACCCAGTTGGGACCTCGCGGCCCCCTTCGTGGGCTCCATGGGGGTCCGCTGGCGAGCTCCTCCTTGACCTCGTCCTCGGCCTCCGCAAGCTCGATTGCCCGCTGCCCGTAGTCCTTGTTGGTTTGCTCCAGTTCCTCCTTGAGCCTTTCCGGCTCCTGCTTCTTCGCGACGTTCTCGAGCACGCTTTGGAGCTCCTTCTTCTTGCTGTCGTCTGCCTTCTTGATCGCCGCATCGAGCACTTGCGCCATACTGAGCCCTCCATGCCCGCTCGTGGTAGCTCTTGGTGGTGCTGCTGCTTGTGACCATGAACGTGGTGCCGACGTCCACTTGGTCCCACCGCATTTGCATCTGTAGTCTGCTGCTGCCAGCCTGTCGCTCTAAAGCCAGCTGCCGCGCGAATGACAGCAGGCCTCATCCGAGCTTTGCTGCCGCTGCTATTGGCTTCTTTCGACACGCCAAGGCCAGAGGAGTGTCGGCATCCCATGCGCGTCGTTTGATCGAGTACTTGCGGGCGGCGTCGGATTTGGTGCCCATGTGATGACACACGCACACACACACACGTGAACTAACACTTTGACGCCGGGTCTTGATGGCGCTTCCACCCGAAATATTCGGCCTTGTCGCTTGCTCCGTTGCCGTGTCCGCTTCCGCCAGGTGCCATGGCGGCCCACGAAGACGGGTAAGAACGCTGAGAGTGTATGGAATTGCCTTGGCTCCAGTCGTCCGAGCAGTCCTACCGCTCGAAACGCCCAGGGGACTCGCCGTCTCGGGACCCCTCAGCGGCCGTGAGCCAAAATGGCTACGGGTGATGATGATACTGATGATGCTGCTCATGCTGATGACGCTGGTGATGATGGTCATGGCGGTGGTGATCTTTCCGATAATGATGATGATGATGATGATGATGATGATGATGATGATGATGATGATGATGATGATGATGATGATGATGATGATGATGATGATGATGATGATGATGATGATGATGATGATGATGATGATGATGATGATGATGATGATGATGATGATGATGATGATGATGATGATGATGATGATGATGATGATGATGATGATGATGATGATGTGATGATGATGATGATGATGATGATGATGATGATGATGATGATGATGATGATGATGATGATGATGATGATGATGATGATGATGATGATGATGCTGATGATGATGATAATGATGATGATGAGGATGAGGATGATGACGATGCTGCTGAGCATGCTGATCATGACGATCATGCTAGTGCTGATGCTGCTGATGATGGTGATGATGGTGATGCTACGGATGATGGTTCTGCTGGATAGGATGGTGACGATGATGATGACGATGCAGATGATGATGATGATGATGTTGTTGTTGTTGTGGTGGTTGTTGTTATTGTTGTTCATTGATGTTGTTGCTGATGATAATGATGTTGATGAGGATGATGATGCTGATGATGCCAATAACTCTGATGATGCTGATGATGCTGATGGTGCTGATTTTGAAGATAAGGATGCTGATCCTGATTATGACGATGATGATGCCGCTGATTATGAATCTGTTGCTGCTACTGCTGATGATGATGATGCTGATGCTGATGTTGTTGTTTGTGGTGGTGATGATGAACATGACGATGACGACGATGCTGCTGCTGCTGGTTATAATGATGATGCTGATGCTGATCATGATGCTGAGGAAGATGACGATGATGCTGATGATGATGCTGAGGATGATGACGATGATGATGGTGGTCGTGGTGGTGGAAGAGGAGGAGGAGGAAGAGGAGGCTGCTACAGATGATGAGTGTGATGCTAAGGATGTCGCATCGTCTGCATATCTGATGATGACCATGATGCTGGTGACGATAATGATGCTGACAATGATGCTGATGATAATGAGGGTGGCGATGCTGATAATGATAATGATGATGCTGCTGTTGATGATGACGATGATGTCGCTGATGCTGATGCTGATGATGATGCTGCTGGTGATGATGCTGCTGTTGATGATGATGCTGATGCTGACAATGATGCTGATGATGATGATGGTGGCGGTGCTGATACTGATAATGCTGCTGTTGATGATGACGATGATGATGCTGCCGATGATGATGCTGATGATGCTGCTGCTGGTGATGATGATGCTGTCGATGATGCTGATGAGATGGTGATGATGCTGATGATGATGATGATTATACTGATGTTGTTGATGGTGATGCTCATGATGACGACGAGCCTGATGAGGAAGGCGAAGATAATACTGATAGGAATACGGAGAGCATTACGAATACTACGGATCATGCAAATACTAACCATAGTGCGAATAATGAGAAGGAACATACTGAAACTAAGACTACGAATAATAACGCTAAGACGACTAATATTACGAATACGGATGATTATACTGCTAGTACTAATAATAAGAAGACTACTGGCATTAGTACTACTACGACTCATGCTCTCAATACTGATAATCTTTATAGTCGCACCAAAAAGAATACGACCAATACTACGGCTACTAATAGGAGTACTAATAATAAGACTAATGAGACGACAAACTAATTATATTAATAAGGGGCGGGGGAGGCGGAGGAGGCGGAGGAGGCTGAGGAGGATGATGAGGAGGACGCGGAACATGAATCGGATGATAGCGATGAGGAGAGGGATGAGGAGGGGATGCGCAGGAAGAGGATACCATTTGGAGGAGGAGGAGGAGGAGGAGGAGGAGGAGGAGGAGGAGGAGGAGGAGGAGGAGAGGAGGAGGAGGAGGAGGAGGAAGAGAAATGGGGAGTAGGAGAAGGAGGGCTCCGCCGGCGGACGTGGCCGCTCTCGAGGAGGGCCGCCATGGCGCGCCGCTGCGAGCTTGTGGCCTGGAGGGCGACGGCCTCAGGCGCAGGGGCGAGCAGTTCAACACCCCTTGCCCTTCTGCCTCCTTCCCCCCCTCTACTGTCCCCAGGTGGGGGAGGGAGGAGGAGGAGGCGGAGGAGGAGGAGGAGGAGGAGGAGGAGGAGGAGAAGGCGGAGGAGGAGGAGGAGGCGGAGGAGGAGGAAGGTGAGGAGGAGGAGAAGGAGGAGGAGGAAGATGCGGGAGGCGGAGGAGGAGGCGGAGGAGGAGGAGGAGGAGGAGGAGGAGGAGGAGGAGGAGGAGGAGGAGGAGCAGAAGTTGGAGGAGGAGGAATAGCAGAAGGAGGAGGAGGAGGCAGCATGGACCAGTGTAAACCCAAGACGCGCCATCGTTATTGCAATCAACCCTTCTCCAAGTTGCCTTGTCACAGTTCCCTGAAATAATGCATTCTCACTTCGGGAAGTGCCCCATTGGAAGACAAGTCTGATAATCCTTCATCGTGCCACCACACCTTTCCTGGACGGCACAGCTGCGATTCAACGTTGCTGTTGCGTCCAGGCGATCCTGAATCGTGCCAGGACGCCATTCTTGGGACTTCAGCACCTTGAATCGTCGTGACGATTGGGGGCCTGACAATCCGAAATCGTGTCAGCACCATTTCTGGGACGCCAGCCGTAATAATCCTTGACCATGCTTCAAACTTTTGAGACGAGTGTGCGCGGTGCTGAGGCGAGAGCCACACTTTGACAAGTAACTGCCCTCCGTCCTTGATGCTGTTGGATGCTTTTGAGACGAAGGTGCGCAGCGCTACGGCGAGCGCCACACTTTGGCATTAAGCGGTGGCAGACTTGTAAGACCGATGCTCGCGTGCTAGTGCAGCCGGGGCCCTGCAGAAGGAACCCTTTTCGTTGGGGAGGGGCTCGGTGTTCCTTGATTGTTCTACAGTTTGCCTTCTGTTTTCCCGAGGTTTTCCATGGGAAATCGAAGTTCAACTTATGGGAGAAAGGGGCCCCGTTCCTCATTTAGGGCTCCTTAGGTCAACGCCCCGACTGTAAGCCACACATTTGAAACCAAGGCGCCGCCATCCATCCGTTAAGCTGTGGCAGCAGCCTTTTCCGGCAAGCCTGCGGCGCGGCGCTACGGGGAGAGCCACAGGTTTAAAAAGGCGCCGCCCTCCGTCCTCGAAGCTGTGGCAAGCTTTTGAGACGCCTGTGCGCGCGGTGCTGCGGCGAGTGCCGCATTTTGTGAGCGGCCCGCGCTCCGTCCTCGAAGCTCTTGCAATCTCTTGAGACGACAGTGCGCGGTGCTAAGGCTGGAGCCGCATTCTGAAACTGGCCCGCCCTACGTCCGTCAAGCCATGGCAGATTCGAGGCCTCAGGACCATTCATGGTGAGGGAGTCTCAGGCGAAGCGCCTGGCCCGCCCTGCCGAAACGTCCCGGGGTGCGACAGGGAGGAGTTAATTAGAAGGAAAAGGAATGGATGATGAAAATTGAGAAGGGGATGGAGTCGAACCAGAGTAGTTCTAAGATGCGTCAGCGATGCTACAACCTACCCTCCCGTCTCAAGTCTCCTCATGCGTCTTCGCAAGCCTTCCTGTTCCCTATGCGAAGCTTCCCCTTACAATGCCAGCACCCCATGGGCCTGCCAATGACGCGGGATCCCCGTTTCCAGAAGGAGGTGTTTTGCATGTTCCTTTGGCGTAATCCTCCTTGCGAAAACTGGGTGGTGATGCAGTGCAGTGAGGTGCCAGCAGTATCTCCGTTTTGAACAAACACAGCGCTCCGTCCGTGTCATCGTTACACAAGTTTGCACTTTTGGTCATATGAACTTCGAGGACGCCTCTCCATCAAGAGCCCCATGTTGCAGGGGATATGCCCTCCATTCGTGCAGCTGCTACATCTTTGAGTCCGAGGGGGTCCCAATCGAGAGCCCCAGCTTGACGAGGAGCCGCCCCCCCAGCCCTGCAGCTGCCACAAGCTTCTCAGACGAAGGTGTGGGCGGAGCTGCGTCGAGAGGTCCCTTTGGAGAAGGAGCCGCCCTCCATCCTGAACAAAAACTGCTCCTCCTCCTCCTCCTCCTCCTTGTATGCTGGTCTCCTCCTCCTCCTCCTCCTCCTCCTCTCCTCCTCCCCTCCTCCTCCTCCTCCTCCTCCCTCCTCCCCCTCCTCCTCCCCCTCCTCCTCCTCCTCCTCCTGCTTCTCCTGCTTTTCCTCCTCCTCCTCTTCCTCCTCCTCTCCCTCCTCCTCCTCCTCGTCCTCCTCTTCCTCCTCCTGCTCCTCCGCCTCCCCCTCCTCCTCCTCGTCCTCCTCCTCACCATCCTCCTCCTTCTCCTCCTTTCGCCTCCTCCTCCTCCTCCTCCTCCGCCTCGTCCTTGTCCTCCTCCTTCTTTTCCTCCTCCTCCTCCTCTTCCTCCTCCTTCTCCTCCTCCTCCTCCTCTTTCTCCTCTTCCCCCTCCCCCTCCTTTCCCTCGCCCTCGTCGTCCGTCCTCCTCCTCCTCCTCCTCCTCCTCCTCCTCGTTCTCCTCCTCCTCCTCCTCCTCCTCCTCCTTCTCGTCCTCCTCCTCCTCCTCCTCCTCCTCCTCCTCCTCACCATCCTCCTCCTGCAGACTTTCGAGCCGAACGTGCGCGGCGCCAGGGCGAGCGCTCCCTTTTGAAGACGACCAGCGCTCAGTCCTTGTACGGTAGCTTCAAGTCGTGTCGACTGGTGGCGACCCCGCCGCCGGCGTGCCACGCTGCGCTCTGCCGGGGGCCCAGAATCGGCCGAGGTTGCATGACCTGATGTTTTTCGGAAACGGTTGATCGCTCCAGGCTGAACGATCCACGCGGTGTCGGAGTCCAGCGCTGGTCGAAGAAGAAACAACGTCATAGAACGCGCTCCGCGCGGACTTCTTGGGTCCGCGCTGGCCCCCCCCGGCGGCACCTCCGGCGCCGCCCCTGGCGCGCTCCGCGCGCCAGGGGGGGGGGGTCCGGCGCAGATCCAAGAAATCCGCGCGGGGCGCCAAAAGTTTGGGCTTGTGCCGCTTGGGCTTCTCCTGGCTGGGGCCGTCGCGACGCGAGAGCCTGCCGCAGACGTTGCGCGCGCCAGGCCTCACGGCCGGAGCTGGCGGGGCGAGCCCTCGGCGAGACGCCCCCCCCCGCCCTGCCCGCACGCCCCCTCCGCCCGCGGGCCGCGCCTCTGCGGCAGGTTTTTTCGCGCCGCGCCGATCGGCGGCGGCCCCGCCGCTGGCGTTCGATGCTGAACGCCGCTGGGGACACGGGCTCGGTCGACGTGGAGAGATCCGGCGTTTCGGACGCGGCCGATCGTTCGAGGCGGAAGGGTCCCCGCGGTGTCAGGAGCCGGCGTCGGAGTCGGCACGGCACGAGCCTGCCAGTGTGGGACCCGCAGTCGTCACCCACAGAGGCCCGCCGTCCGAGCCCGCCGTCGCGGAACACAGAGATTTTTTGCGCTCCGCGCCGAGGCGCGGCGCCTTCGCCGCGGCGGGCATCCTGTCCGTGATCGGCCTTGTGCTGCTGGGCGCCGCAGCGTGGTCGCCCGCAGGCTTCCCAGACAGGACGTCAGAGAACCGCCCTGGCATCCGTACGGACGAAATGGGTACAGAGGACATCCGTGATTTCCGTTTCATTTTGAGCTGGACTCGCCGTCGGTGGCGCCGCGGGCGGTGTCCATTTGAGGCAGAAGGCCGCCTGGCCAACAGTGGCTGCTGTCAGCATTGGACAGCATGTGCTGTTGGGCATCGTACCCATTTTTCCGTAGCCATGTCGGGCGTCCAAACAGAATTTCCCGCTTCCTTCATCCCTCCGTCCCCGGGTCCTCTGCCCTCTCTCTTGCCTCACTCCTCTTCCTCCCTGCACCTCCCTTCCCTTCCTCCCTCCCCCGATCTCCCGCTCCTCAGTCCTGCGTCCTCCGTCCTCTCCTTCTCCCTCCTTCGAACTCTCCCGTCCTGGAGGCCTACACGCCATCTTTAGGGCGCCTCCTATACCACCTCCTCCGTCCTCCTCCTCTTCCTCCTCCTCCTCCTCCTCCTTCTCTTGTGCCTCCTTTTCTCTTGAGAATGGCGGTTTGCTGTCGGTAATGGGTATGCCGGTGCAGTTGCCAAGGCTGGAGCCTTCAGTCTCCATCAACCATCAGATGCCGAACGTTCTGATGCAGAGCAAGAGCCTCAGCTGCTCCTGAAGGAAGCTGAGCATGCATTTTTGGCGCTGCTCGACGGGGCACGGGCCGGGCCAGTGGAAAAGCTGCCCGCACAGAGGGAAGCGAGGGCGTCTGCCAGGCCAGTGGCTGCGCCAGGGCGTCAAGCCCTGCACCCCCCCTGCCCTGCCCCTGGGCCCTTATGTTGTCGCTGCCGCCGCCACCTCTGGTGCTGCTCCCCCTCCCTCTTCTTTTGGCGGCATGCTGTGTCCCGATTCCAGGCCACGTGCGCCAAGGGCCCCACAACACGGCAGAGTGACAAGGACTGCGCGTCCGCGAAGCCCACGGCAAGCAGGGAGTCCACCCATGGTTGAAGCCGACCGCGAGTGGATTTTTCCTTAGGAAACCACGGATGTGCCGTGAGTGCGTGCGGCGATTCAGGAGAGAGGTCCCCGTCGATCGCTGGGGATGCATCGTGTGGCGGCCGCCCGATTCCCAGCAGGTTGGGCCTTGCTCGGGGTTTCACTGGTGGCTCAACGGATGCCGTGCGATACCCCAAGAGGCGCAGCCTCTGTCTCGCGTCTCTCCCCGGAAGGGGGCCTCCTCACCGTCCGCACCCGCGGCCGACCCCATCATCTCCTCCTCCTCCTCCTGGCTGGTGTGCGGGCCTCGCCGCGGCTCGCTGCTCGTGAGCGGGCGGATCGCAGGACCTCGCGGGAGCAGGGGGGAGGAGGAGGACGAGAACGTCCGCTCTCCTCCTTCGTGGCTTTTGGTGCAGACGCTGACGGACTTCAGCTGTTTTCGGTTCCAGCTGGCTCCCAACTGGGCTCCTGATGTTCTGTGGTTGGTTGCGATGTTTGCTAATTTTGCCAGCCGTTCCAATTCATAACGCTCTTGTTTCAGCACTTGCATATATTTGCAACCTGGTCCCGACGAACATGTTATGTTGATTTGATGTGCTAACATATCGCCGCGGGGTTCGTGGAACGCATGTGCGATATCCGCCCGTGGGATATCCCAACGTACTAACAATGATATCGTTTTCACTGTGCGTGCCCCGCTTTGGTACGCAGTACAGGCGGCGGGTAACTGGTTCGACTTTCGACAAACAGGCGCCTGTCTTTACGCCTGGTGCTGCACATCTGCCGCAGAGGGTATCGGTTCCAGAACTTCTCCAGGATGCCTACCGTATATATGCTGGGCAGCTCGCCTCCTTCAGTGATTTGGTCGGAAGCATGAACAGTACGATTGCGATTTTCGAGGGCAAGCTTAACCAGTTTCCTTCCTCAGGGAACGCCATTGGTGGCTCTGCTGAGGCCCCCCAAGGAGAGCTCTGACGACGACGAGGTGAACAGCCAATCCTCTTCGAATGTGTCTTTGCGTCGGTCTGGCTCCTCTGAAGTTTCACCCGAGTACGGGTGGCTTCCAGCAACAACGCAATGAACGACCCGCGACAGTGGACTTTAACATCGAAGTTGCCATGGAGGAAATCGTCCGATCTCTCCCTGGCCTGGTGAAAGGAATCGGTTTTGCCTGCCGTTTTGCCAGTCGATCAGGAGAAGCGGTGTCGCGATTCATGGATCTAGCATTGGGAAAAAGAGCTGATGGCATGACCTCGAGCTTGGACGGTTGGCGCGCGAACGTTGAGGAGCGTGTGAGTCCTTCGCAGCCTCGGCTTGCTCACCTCATGCTGCCCGCGCCGCGAGCGCACTCGAGCACCTTTGCCGTGGGAGGGTGCCCAGCGCTGGTTTTTGCAAGTCTGGCAGGGCTTGCCATCGCCGTGATTGTGGGTTCGAGGAGGACGAGGAGGACGAGGAGGACGAGGAAAACGAGGAGGACGAGGAGGGCGAAGAGGACGAGGAGGACGAGGAAAACGAGGAGAACGAGGAGGGCGAAGAGGACGAGGAGGGCGAGGGGAACGAAGAGAACGAGGAGGACCAGGACGAGGAGGACGAGGAGGACGAGGAGGACGAGGAGGACGAGGAGGACGAGGAGGACGAGGAGGACCACCATACACGGGGACGCGCGATCGAGGAGGTTTCCGCTCTTTGGCCGGGTGCCGCACGCGCTCTCCCCAGTCCCCAGGGCCTGGCCCGACCAGGGCCTGGCGCCGCGGCTCGCGCCCATGGGTGATGGCAGCTTTGACGCCGCTGACAACGATGCCGTAGGGGACGAGAGCTGCACGCGGAGGCCTCGAGCATACAGTGAGCGGCTTGAGTAAGGAACACTTGCTTTTCCAAAGGGGCTCGGTCGTTCCTTAGGTTTGCATGCGTTATTTACAGTTCCTCATGCGTTATTTGTTATTTATCGTTCCTTATGCGTTATTCCTTGGGATAAAAAAGGGGCTTCGTTCCTTATTTATCGTTCCTTAGGTCAGGCCGATGACTGTAGAGCGAGGCCAGCACGCGCGTGCGGGCGTCCTCATTGGAACCCTCCCTGCCTGCGTCCGTCGGGGCGGCCCCCCCCGCCCCCCAGGGCAGCCCGACGGGCAGCCCAGGCGGGAAGGGCCCCCAGATGGCTCCAGGACGCCCGACGGGCTCCGCCGGCCTGCGAGCCGCAGCCCCTGACCCGGGCCGGGGGAAGACAATCCGGAGGGGAAGAAACACACAGACACGATGGGTCGTCGATTTCTTAGAAATTATGGGAACATGATGTGAAGTGGGGGGGGGAAGACCCAAACCCAGAACATATGGGAAAACATGGGGGATCCTGCTGTTTGTGTGTATTTACTTGTGTGTCCCGGGGCCCCTTCAAACGAGTCTCTGGTGGCCGTGCCCGGCCGCCCTCGCGGGCGGGCGCGCGCAGGACGGCGGCACTGCCCTCCTGGTTGGGCCTCTCGCCGGACCAGCCGCCGCAGCCAAGTGTGAAATCGGGCTTGTCCCGCTACAGGGGGGGAGTTCAAAAATAGTCCAAAAATAGTCAGGGGATCATTTTTTGACAATTTTTGGGCATTTCAGGGGTATTTTTTGGGGGTATTTTCATTTTTCGCCCCAAATCCCCGTGTAGGAGGACACGCCCGACTTAAGCCAAGTGTGGATCGACGCGCCGTGGCACTCTGTCGCTTCGGGTTTGCGTGCTGCTCGCTTCTTTACCGATGGCTTCTTCAAGCAGCGGCTGCTGGGGCATGCGGTGTTCTGAAGGAAAGTGCGTCGCCGTCTTCGGTCGCCCTGGGCAGTACGGCGTCGATGTCGCAGATCTGGCCTGATGACCATCACCGTCTTTTGCTCTTGCTCCCCCCCCCTGAACTCTGCTTTCGTTGAGGTTGTTCTACATGGGGCTGTCGCTCTCGCTCACTCGCCATCCCCATCCGGTGGCGGGCGGAGGATCTCTTGAGCTGTCGCCACCAACCGTCCAGGCACGCTCCACCTCCTCCTCCTCCTCCTCCTCCTTCTCCCTCCATCCCTCCTCGTCCTCCTTCTCCCTCCATCCCTCCATCCCTCGCGTCTTTCCGCCCTGTCCCCCTTCTCCTAGTCCTTCCCTGAGATCCGACGTTGCGAAACAATGCAACATCAGCAGGGGCCCTAGACCCCATCATCCAGCTCCACGTTTTCGAGCCGCACCGATCTGCGATGGCCCTGGGGCCCGAAACCAATCGAAAACGCCAGGTATGAAAAAGTTGCAACGCCCGGATCTCAGGGTCCTGCCTTCCTTTTCAGACAAGGACGTCGGAGTTGTCTCAGCACGACAGCCCGGACGTCATCGGTCTCAACGTCATCGGCGTGCGCCCGACGACCCCAGCGCCGCGAGCGGAGTTGCCTCCGCAGGCACCCTTGCGCCCCCCGCCGGACTTCCCCATCCAGCCGCCGCCGGGCTTCTACCCGGACTTGCCGGGCGCGTCGGAGGACGTGGACGAGGAGGAGGAGGAGGAGGCGCCGCCGCGGCCCCCGCTGCTGGACCTCCCCATCGAGCCGCCGCCAGGCTTTTATCCCGAGGGGTCGGGCGCGGCCGAGGATTGGGACGCACAGCCCAAGCAGATCTACACGATGTGTGCGCCGCGCCCCCAGGGGAGACGCACGCGCTCAGACTTCTTCTAGCATGTGCTCGCTTGCTGTCGCTTCCTGGCCATGCCGACCTGGTGACGACGTATACTACACGATGCTTGTGCTGTAAGTTCGCTTCGGACGTGCGCCTCAGAGCGGGGGCACATAGTGGTCGCATGTCCTTCCCCGGGCCCCCGACGTCATGATTTTTGCATAACGTCGACCCCCAGAGGTCTCGACCCATTCCCCTGCACCAGTTGTTCCATCCTGACTCATGTTTTGTGACGATCCCGCGGCCCGGCGAGGGCCCCCAGAGGCCGAAAACCGCCCCAAGCCTCCCACAGTGATTTTTCTCACGAGTCGAGGGGGTACGGGCTGGCGTCCCAGAGAAGGAGGAGGCGCCGCCGCGGCCCGCGGCGGACTTCCCCATCGAGCCGCCGCCGGGCTTCTACGACCCGGACCGCCGCGGCGGGGGTTTGTCCATAACCTCCGCCTGGGGCTTCGATCTTCGCGGACCCCCACAGGCGGTGGATATGGATAGATTCGGCCCCCCAGGGGCCGAAATGTATCCACATCCACCGCCCGCTGGGGCACCAGGACGTCGGTTCCCAGGCGGTGGATCTGGGCAAATCCCCGCCTCGCAGGACCCGCCCGGCGCGGGCACCGAGCTGCCTCTGCAGGCGCCCTTGCGGCCCCCTCCGGACTCCGGAGTGGGGCGCCCGTGCACCACTACCATGCTCGGCCAGGGCCATGCTGTGCCCTCCTCAGACCCCCTCGCATCCTGAAAGAGTTCCGACGGGAGTCTTTTTTCGTCTGTGTGTCCATCTCTCCCTCTCTCATATATAGATATATATATGCGTATGTGTGTATCAATAGGTACATGAGTATATATACAAACACATGTAAATGTGTATCTTTATATATGCACATATATATATATATACACGTAGTTGCATTCATGCACACTGTGCATACGGATACAGATGAACATTTATGGACATGTACAGACATATGCGTACATATATATATATAGCATATAGATGTTTATAAGCTGCTCTGCTACTGTATAGTATACAGGTACGTCTGTATACAGTTGTCGAGATGCCTGTGTGCATGTGTATACTCTACACATAGATGGCTGTGTATACATACATGTATAATATGGCACACATATTTGCATACACATATATATAATGTGTGGTCGGTTTGCTTGTATACAGTTAGGTATGTACGTACGCACATCTGTACGCATGCATCTATGTATGTATGCGCGTATACAAGCATGTCTGCTTACATGTGCGTATGCATGTATGTATGTATGTTTCGGTGTGTGTGATGTGTATGGACCTATGCATATCTGTATACATGCACACATGTATGTATGTATGTATGTATGTATGTTTGTACGTGTGCACGTATGCATGGATATACGTGTGCGCGTATGTACGTATGTATGCATGCAAAGCGGTATGTGTGTTTGTATGCGTGTATACATTTATGCATGTATATATGTATGCGTGCATGTGTATGTATGTATGCATGCATGTATGTATGTACGTATGTGTGTCTGCCTGTCTGTCTGTCTGTCTGTATGCATGTATGCATGTAAGTATGCATGAATGCATGTATGCATGCATGTATGAAAGAGTCTGTCTGTCTGTCCGTCTGCCTGCCTGCCTGCCTGCCTGCCTGCCTGCCTGCCTGCCTGCCTGTCTGTCTGTATGTATGTATGTATGTATGTATGTATGCATGCATGCATGCATGCATGCATGCATGTATGTATGTATGTATGTATGTATGTACGTGTGTATGTGTGTATGCATGTGTGTCTGTATGTATCAATGTAGGTATGTCTGTATGTATGCATGCATGCATGCATGCGTGCATGATTGCATGCATATGTATGTACTGACATTTTGCGCTTATCGTCCTCTGGGGGCCCTCGCCAGGCCGCGGGACCTGCAACAAGCAACTCGGGGTGAACAGCCAGGCCCCAGGGAATGGGTCAAGACCTCTGGGTGGCGACGGTGCGAGTCAATCACAACGTCGGAGGCTTGGGCCCTGGCCATCCCGGGGCCCAGTGCTGCTCTGGCCGTGCCTGGTGGTGGTGCATTGGGCGCCCCCTGCGCAGGACTTCCCCATCGAGCCGCCCCCAGGCTTCTACCCGGACCTCCGGGAGGCGGATCGGGCGGCGGGAGCTATGCCTTTGCATGCTCCCAGACAGCCAGCGTCTCGAACAATATCGGAACGGAGGCTTTTCATAGTTTTGCGGCCTCTCGGGGCGTTTACTGGGCCTCGGCACCGTCTAAAAGTGACTCGGGATGAAAAGCCGGCCCCAGAGAAGTGGTCGATCCGTCGGGGACCCGTGTCTCCAGAAAATCGAGGTGGTTCGGCGGCGAAATCTCGACCCTGCCCTCGCCGATCAACGCTTCAGGCAACTTGATGGGCAGTGGGGGTGGGGTTCGGAATTCGTCGCACACGTGGCGAACTCCGAACCCTATCCACGCCTCCCATCGATTCAGGAGAATCGATCGTTGGTGGGGGTGTGGTTCGGATGCCGCCACCTATTGCTAAGGCGGGCATGTCTTTCTACAGGAGTAATATTCAAAAATAGTCAGACAATGGTCGGGGGACGATTCTGCGACTGTTTCGGATTATTCTGGAGCACTTTTTGACTATTTTTCATTTTTCTTCCAAAATCCGCCTGTAGGAGGACATGCCTGCCCTAAACCTAATGGCGGATGTCTGGGTATAGACTGTCCTGCCCAGGCCCTCTCCCGGGCCCAGGCTCGGCCCTACCTTGGCCAAGCCAGGGGGGCGCACACATACCCCCTCCTCCGACGTTGCTGCAGCGTTTGCGTGACGTCGCCCCCCCATGGATCTCGACTATTTTCCCGGGCCCCCCTTTCTTTTCTTCTTATTTGTGCTTTTGTTTGTTTTTTTGTGTTCCTACGGTCCCGGGGCTGGGAAACGGCCCCGCAGGCCGGAAACAAGGAGATCCCGCCCGCCATTCCTCTGCAGCGCCTGGATCCGAGGGCACGCCGATCCCGGGCCCAGGGTGCTTTGGGGCATGACCAGTACGGTGGGCGCGTGCGTTAAGGACTGCGTCCAGGAGGCCTCAGACCCTGGAGGGTTCCTTATCTCGGGAGCGGAAAAGAGGGGGGTGATGACTAGGGGGGGGGGATATCATGGCGGGGGCCATGATATTTCCCCAGATTTCATGGCGCCTCTTCTTATTTCATTACGTCCCTGGCCCCCCCGCTGGGCCGCGCACATGCCGCCGGTCATGATTTGCACCCCCCCCTCTTGGACACCCCCCTCTTGGCCGCTCCCGATTATCTGATGAGGGCGGCGGTGAGATCCATGGCCAGCCCACGATTGGAGTTCCACTGGCTTCCAGACCCTGGGTTCCTTCTCGAAGGCTTCCTCATCCAGTGCCATCGCCGTATCGGTGGAGCCCGTGTTCCCCCACGCCGACGTCGCCGATGCATCGCCGACGTCGCCAGTGCATCGCCGATGCATCCTCGACGCATCGGCGATGCATGAGCGATGCGGCGCGATCCTTCAACCCCATCTATTCGGACCCCATCTAGGATCGGAAGGTGGGCAAGGCTGCTAAATCCGTGGCTGCTAGAATCGACCTCCGGGAAGTTGTCTTCGTCCTTGCGGGAAGAAGCCCGTTGACTGTTTCGCGTGCCGCGCCTCATTCCGGGAAGCTGTTTTTTCCTTCCGGGAGGGCCGTTGTAGCAGCTACGCTTTCAGCAGCCCTCGCCCAGCTTCCGATAGGAGGCCTCTGTTTGGGGCATGACCGGTATCGGTGCGTCCCCCAAAAGGCAGGGGGAGGGAGGGAGGAGGAGGAGGAGGAGGAGGAGGAGGAGGAGGAGGAGGAGGGAGGAGGGAGGGAGGGAGGGAGGGAGGGAGGGAGGGGGAGGGAGGGAGGGAGGGAGGGAGGGAGGGAGGGAGGGAGGGAGAGGAGGGGAGGAGAGGGGGGAGGGGGAGAGGAGTAGGAGGAGGAGGAGAGGAGGAGGAGGAGGAGGAGGAGGAGGGAGGAGGAGGAGGAGGGGGAGGTGTTGCATGGCCGCGCCCCCCAAAAGGCACGCAAGCAGGCGGAGGGCGGCCCGAGCCCGGAGGCCGAGGGGCCCGCGCGCCGGAACCCGCTGCTGCGGGCGAGGAGGGTCGGCCCAGAGGGCGAGGCCGCCACGAGGCAGTCGCCCGAGGGCGGCGAGCCGGGGCAACGTCAGGGGGGGGGAGGGCGCGAAGAGGCCCCGCCTCCTCCTGCTCCCTGGAGGAGCTGGAGAGGAGGAGGAAGAGGAGGAAAGGAGGAGGAGGAGGAGGGAGAGGAGGAGGAGAGGAGGAGGAGGAGAAGGAGGAACGAGGAGGAAAAGGAGGAGGAGGAGGAGGAGGAGGAGAGGAGGAGGAGGAGGAGGAGGAGGAGGAGGAGGTGAGGAGGGAGGAGGGAGAAGAGAGAGGAGTAGGCCATTCCATTCCATTCCATTCCATTCCATTCCATTCCATTCCATTCCATTCCATTCCATTCCATTCCCATTCCATTCCATTCCATTCCATTCCATTCCATTCCATTCCATTCCATTCCATTCCATTCCATTCCATTCCATTCCATTCCATTCCATTCCATTCCTCCTCCTCCTGCGCTACGGGTGGTATGCACCGACCCCCAAATCGCCCTTTCATCGCCGATGGCCAGAGGCCGGATATCCGTCCCCGCGTGCGGTTTCGCTGCCGGGGCCCATCGCCGATCTATCGGCGATGCATCGTCGATTCCAGGTCGATGCTTTCCCCCCCCTGAGATCCGACGTGGCAACAAAAATTGCAGCATCGCAGAAAATCACGACTGGACCCCCCGACCCCATCATTCTGCGGCATTTTTAAAGCCAGATCGATTTGTGAGGGCCACGGGGCCCGACGTGGAGCGAAAACGCCCGGCTCAAAAAATGGAGTCGTCAGGATCCCCGGGGCCCCAAACCCCCCACATGATTTGGTCAGAACGGCGACTCCCGGAGGCCTCGACGCGTTCCCAGGGACGGGCTCTCTTCCTCCCGAGTCGTTTTACATGACGGCCTCGGGGCGCGGTCAGGGCCTCAAGCAAGGGGCCGACCATGAGTGAGTGAGCGAGAGTGCGCGCGTGGTGGGGGTCCTGGGCCTCCTCCTCCTCCTCTTCCTTTTCCTCTTCCTCCTCCTCCTCCCCCTCCTCCTTCTCCTCCTTCTCCTCCTGCTCCTCCTCCTCCCGCTCCTCCTCCTCCTCCTCCTGCTCCTCCTCCTGCTCCTCCTCCTCCTGCTCCTCCTCCTCCTCCTGCCTCCTGCCTCCTCTTTCTCCTCCTCCTCCCCCTTCTCCTCCTCCTCCTCCTCCTCCTCCTCCTCCTCCTCCTCCTCCTGCCTCTCCTCGCCTCCTCCTCCCCTCTTTTCCTCCTCTTCCTCCCTTCCTCCTCCTCCTCCTCCTCCTCCTCCTCCTCCTCCTCCTAACCCAGACATCCGGCGCCTCGATTTGTTCGAAAAACGGGACCCTGCCCTCTCGCCACCTCCCTGGGCCGGTTTTTTACATCCCGAGGCGTTTCTTGACGGCCCCGAGGCCCGGTGAGGGGGCCCCCCAGGCGCAGAAGACGGTGCAAGCCGCAAGCCCTCCCTTCCGATCTTGTTCGAGAGCCCAGAGGCCTGGGGCCCGCCTCTCCACGGCGGGTCCTCGATTCTCAAATCCAGGCGGAGCATCACACGTTCCTTATGGCTACTGGTGGCCATTACAAAAAAGAAACGTGTGACGTCCCATCATGGCTTTGTCTTTAGGGCCACCAGTAGCCGTAACGTATGCCTTTGTGGCCACCAGTAGCCGTACAAAGCACGTGCGATGTTCGATCTATGTCTGGGAGCGTTGCTCCCCACCTCGGCCACCCTCCCGGCCCCGCACCTGGGCCATCCTCCCGGCCCCGCACCGCACCCTGGCCATCCTCCCGGCCCGGCACGTCGCCCGGACTGCCGCAAAGATTCGGGGGTGGACAGAACCCCCAACAGTGACACGTCGATTAGTGAATTGTCCGTTTTCGGTTCTCGAGATCGCGCCGTGGCCGTTATTTTCCAGGCTTGCGCCGGCCAGGTTTGGGCCTCAGGTCGTCTTCACTAAACCACGTTTTGCTAAAGGGGGATCTGTCCATCCCCGAAAGATGCAGACCCCCCCCCGGGGCTCACCATCCATGTCTGGGAACGCTGCTCCCCAGGTGAGGAGAAGGGCTGGGTCGTCGAGGCGGTGCCCGCGGACCTGCCAGAGCCCCCTCGCGCGGCCCCGCCGCGGGCGAGTGACCCCGCGGGCTCGCTGGGCGAGGTGGTGCCCCCTGTCTGGGCTGGCTGCCTCCTCCTCCTCCTCCTCCTCCTCCTCTTCGTCGTCCTCGTCCTCGTCCTCGTCCTCGTCCTCGGCCTCGTCGTCGTCCTCGTCCTCGTCGTCGTCGTCCTCCTCCTCCTCCTCCTCGTCGTCGTCCTCGTCCTCGTCCTCGTGCTTGTCCTCGTGCTCGTCCTCGTCCTCGTTGTCTTCGTCGTCGTCGTCGTCGTCGTCGTCGTCGTCGTCGTCGTCGTCGGGGCGAGGTGGAGCCTATGTCGGGGCTGGCCAGGGCAGCGCCAGCCAGGAGAATCGAGGACCCGCCACGGAGTGGAGGGTCCCAGGCATCTGTTCGAGGTAGCATAAGACTCGAGTGCGCCGGAGCTCGGGTCTGCCGACGCTTTCGGGAGCCTTGAGACGGGGTTCAATGCAAGCGGGAGTCAGCCAGAGAGCTGGATTTTGCAGGATCCTGCGGAGCCAGGGGTGCGCAGACCCAGGTTTGCATGCAGGGTCTCGCAGGATCCTGCAGGATCTTGCAGGATCCTGGGAAAGCCGGACTGGCCCGGGTTTGGATTGACCAGGCCAGTAGACTCCCGCCCCGCCATGGAGAGGAGGCTCACAGGCAAATGAGCGACGCAAGACAACAGGGTCGTCTGCGCCGACGTTGGCGCGTAAGCTGCCCGCGCAAGGTCGCGCGTGAACGCCCTCGTTGCCAATGTGGCGTGCCGCGCTGGCCGCCCACGTGAGCCGCTGCGTAATGTCGCTGTGTCATCTCGCTAGGCGTCTGCTCGGCGAAACGTGAGACTCGATTGCGCCGGAACTCGGGTTTGCCGACGCCTTTTGACGAGCGCGTCCTGGATTGACAGACCAGTTTTCGCGAGATGTATGCAGCGTGAGCTCGCGTCAAATGTCAGACTGGGTCTCGTCATTTTCATGATGGCCTCGTCAGGCCAACCCGAGTCCCCCGAACCCGAGTCTTACGTCTCGCCGCTCTGCAGTCCAGAAAAACTCGAGACGGCTGTTTTTTTCATCGTTTTCGGCCTCTCGGGGCCCTCATCGGGCCTCGGGGTTGTCAAGAAACGACTCGGGGTGAAAAAATCGGTCCCGGGGAGGTGCTCGAGATGCCTGGGGCCCACGTTACGAACAAATCGAGACGCCATATGTTAAGGGGTTTGCGCATCAGCAGTGGCCCAAATTTGGAGCCGGCTGGGGGTCTCAGGTGTCCCAGCAGTGCTTCCGACCAGCCAGAGAGGGGTGGGGGAAGAGTTTGCACTTCGAGCAGGTTGTTTGCCCTTTTCGGTCTCCGGGGTCCGTTTTCGGGTCCCGGGAGCGTCGAAGACGGATCGGGGGTGAACAACTGCACCAGATGGACCACGGGAGAGGTCGGGGACAGGTTCGGAGCGGATTTGCTCCTGTCCTCCTCTCCTTGACTGCCTTTCTAGGGGCCCACCTTGTTCAGACCCCCTGGCCGGCTCCACACCCAAAGATGCCTACAGTCGGGGCGCTGAAGAAGGAACCCTTTTCGTTTGGGAGGGGCTCCGTGTTCCTTAGTTGTTTTACAGTGCTCCTTGGGTTTTCCTGAGGTTCTCCATGGGAAGTCGGAGTTTAACCTATGGGAAAAAGGGGCCTCGTTCCTTATTTAGGGTTCCTTGAGTCAACGCCCCAACTGTACGGTAACTGGACGTGCGTCGGCCCCGAAGGGGGCGGCGCGCGCGCGCGCTCCGAACTCTCGACAGTGCATGCTCGGTGGCGGGCGCTGTCTGGCCATGTCGCCTGGGTAGTGACACACGACGTATACTACAGTGTGCGTGCGTGCGTGCGTGCGTGCGTGCGTGTGTGTGTGTGTGTGTGTGTGTGTGTGTGTGTGTGTGTGTGTGTGTGTGTGTGTGTGTGTGCGTGTGTGTGAGTGTGTGTGTGTGTGTGTGTGTGTGTGTGTGTGTGTGTTTGTGCGTGTGTGTGTGTGTGTGTGAATGCGTGTGTGTGTGTGTGTGTTCTGCGTGCGTGCGTGTGTGTGTGTGTGTGTGTGTGTGTGTGTGTGTGTTGGTGTGTGTGGTGTGTGTGTGTGTGTGTGTGTGTGTGTGTGTTGTGTGTGTGGTGTGTGGTGCGTGTGCGTGTGTGCGTGTGTGTGTGTGGTGTGTGTGTGTTGTGTGCGTGTGTGCGTGTGTGTGCGTGTGTGTGTGTGTGTGTGTGTGTGTGTGTGTGCTATGTGTGTTCGGTTCGGTTGGTCCTCCTCCTCCTCCTTCTCCCTCCTCCTCCTCCTCTCCTCATTCTCTTTCTCCGCGTCCTCCTCCTCCTCCTCTTCTCCTCCTTCTCTTTCTCCGCGTCCTCCTTCTCATCCTCCTCCTCCTCTTCCTCCTATTCTTTCCTTCCTCCTCCCTCCTCCTCCTCCTCTCCTCCTCCTCTCTCCCTCTCCTCTCCTCCCTCCTCCTCCTCCTCCTTCTCCCTCTCTCCTCTCTGTTTTTGTTTCGTTCTCATCCTCCTCCGCCCCAGGGCCGTCGTCAACAAAACGACTCAGGATGAAAAGCTGGGAACGCAGTGGAGTGCACCACCCGCTTCCCGCAGGATCCTTACCTTGTGGGCCCGCACAGTGGGGTGGCACGAGGGGGACGGCCTTCTCAGAAGTCCGGGGCTTCTCAGAAGGTCCTGCAGGCTTCTCAGGAGGCGTCTTAGAAGGGGGGGTTTTTGAGAAGCCACCTTCCTTCTGAAACGCCCCGCCGCCTTCTCAAAAGATGGTTGCCCCCCCCCCCCCCCCCGCCCCACCCCCGCTTGTGCGCGCCGCCAGCTTTCCCTCATTCCGAAGGACGTGCGAGCGGCGGACCCTTCGCTGCTGTCGCGACGCCTCGTTGGGCAGGCTGCTTGAGAAGGCACATGCTGTACGAGCATCCCGCCGACGAAGTCTCCTGGGCGCCAGGCTCAGGTATTATTCAGTCTGTCCGACAAGCTGGATCCAACTGACTGACCTGAATACACGGGGCATGCAATTAAATGACGTTTTGCCGTATCAGAAGTATGGGCAAGGCGTGCGCTAATATATTAGGCCGCTGACCTTGGAGATCCTGCGAGCTCCTGGTTTATTGTTGATTAGAAATTTGCTTGACTCGAGCCCGACTCATGCACGTCTTGCCCGTGGGGTATCGGCTTCCGTACCTCAGCGGGGTGCATGCTCAGCAGCGATCCCGAGAGTGAACCAGACCTTTGGATCGGCTTCCCAGCTCCTCCCTCTCCTTCGTCTTTTCCAGACCCATCGCCCTCTTCTGTTGCATGTACTTTGTCTCCTCCGTATTATAGCGGAGCCCTCTAGTTTCAACCGACAATGGGGTCGGAGGCTTTAATTCGGTCGCTAATCGCCTGTCTCACCGGTGTCGCCAAGATCATGCCCGCCGTTGGAAAAGAGAATGGGGGCTTGGAGGAGTGAGCGAACAGGAGGAGAGGGAGAAGAGCACAGGGAGGAGGAGGAGGAGGAAGAGGAGGAGGAGGAGGAGGAGAAGGTGGAGGAGGAGGAGGAAGCATGAGGACAAGGAGGGTGGAGGGTGGTGGTTGTGGTGATGCTGGCGATGACGATGATGATGCTGATGATGCTGAGGATGATGATGTTGATGATGATGGTGGTGATGGTGATGATGCTGATGACGATGGTGATGGTGATGAGGGTGATGATGCTGGTGATGATGGTGATGATGATGCTGATGCTGTTGATGTCTTAGGAGTAGGGTAATGTGGATAATGTGATGATGCCCGTGATGATGCATATGCTGATGCTACTGATGATGAGGATGGTACTGATGATGCAGATGATGATGATGCTGGTCAAGGTGATGATGATGATTGATGATGATGATGACGATGATGATGATACTGGTGATGCTGATGATGGCAATGACGATGGTATGATGATGCTGATGATGCTGATGCTGCTGCTGATGATGGTGATGATGCTGATGTTGATGTTGATGCTGCTGTTGATGATGACCATGATGATGATGATGATGGTGCTGATGTTGATGATTATGATGATGGTCAGGACGATGATGATGACGATGATGATGATGATGATGCTGCTGCTGATGATGATGATGATGATGTTGACTAGGATAATACTGATGATGCTGCTGTCGATTATGGTGATGATGCTGATGCTGCTGCTGATGATGCTGATGATGGTGATGATGCTGCTGCTGATGATGATGTCACTGCTGCTGCGGATGTTGCTTACGATGATGATGATGCTTTTGCTGTTGTTGTCGTTGCTATTGTTGCTGCTGTTGGTGATGATGCTGCTGTTGTGGATGCTGGTGATGGTGATGATGACGACGATTATGATGATGATGATGATGCTGCTGATGCTGATGAGGATGATGCTGCTGCTGATGATGATGATGCTGATGATGATGATGATGCTGATGATGATGATGATGATGATGATGATGATGATGATGATGATGATGATGATGATGATGATGATGATGATGACGTTGAGGAGGAGGAAGTCGATTAGCATGATGAAGATGAGGAGTAGTAGGAGGAGGAGGAGGAGAGGAAGAGGAGGAGGAGGAGGAGAAGGAGGAGGAGGAGGAGGAGGAGGAGGAGGAGGATTAGGACGAGGAGGAGGAGGAGGAGGACGGAGGTTGGAAGATGGATTGTACTGGATGGCGATGAGGATGATGCGCAAGGGTTATGAGGATGGTGAGCGAGGAGGAGGAAGAGGAGGAGGTAGGAGGGATGATGGGACAGCCTAGGATTGATCAGGGGGGAAGCAGGCTACAGGATTGAGGGATGTATTGAAGGTGCCAGGTAGAGAAACAGGGATGGAGCAGACGAGGGACCTCCTCCCGCTCTGCTCCGTCCTCCTCCTCCCACTCTGCTCTGCCCTCCTCCCTTATCCCTCCTCCCTCTTCCCTCCATCCCTTCTCCCTTATCCCCCTCCCTCTTCTCCAACCCTCATCTCCATCCCGCTTCCCTTATCCCTCCTCCCGTATCCATCCTCCCTCTTCCTTTGTTCCCTTTGTCTCCTCCCTTCGGGAGGCGTGTGCATTGACGATGGATCTGCCGAGGGGTCCGAGGCCGCCGGGCGGACGCCTGACAGGGCGATTCGGCGAGTCGCATCCCCCAAAGCTGGCCATTTTGTGCTCGGCGTGTTCACCAGGAGCTTCTTGGCGCGCCGATGACGGCAACACCAATCCGCTTTCCCTGTGGGACCGCGCCCCCTGTTCCAGTCCATGGCGCACCTTGTCCTGTGCAAGATCTTCGGCGCCGCCTGTTTTCCTCTGGCCGCCTGAGGCCCCGCCCGCCCAGGCCCTGTCTCCCCAATTAGGGCTACCCGCGTCCCGTTTAGCTCTTGACCGGAAGGGACCCGCTCCCGACCCGCCGACCAAAACAGTTCACCAGGAGCTGGCTCAGCGGTGTCTTACCATGCCGCTCCACCCCTTCTCCTCCCGGATACCTCCTCCCTGTCGCACCCCCGGGCGTGCTGGTAGGGCTGGTCAGGCGTTTCGCTGGACACCACCGCTTGGAGGATCCTCAAGTCTGAGCACTGCAGCGGTCACGCGGACGGATGGCGATCGTTTTCGCAATGGGGCGCTCGCCTTTGCGACACAGGTGTCCTGTTCAGCTACGACCGCTACAGGGATTGAGGGCAGTTTCGTTCAAATTGGGTGTCTCGACTTATGGCCGCGCACATCCGTCTGAAAGCCAGTGTGCAGCAGTTATCGATAGCAGTCCCCTGTCAAAGTGGGGCTCTCGCCCAAGAAGGGCCAGGCACATTCGTCTAACACGTTCGCAGCAGTTACAAGGGATGGAATGATGGGCTTGTTTTCCACCACCATACGCTGGAGGGGGAGGGGGTCCTCCTCTTCCTCCTCCTCCTCCTCCTCTTCGTCCTTCTCCTCTTCGTCCTCCTCCTTCCCCCCTCCAGCTTACGGTGGTGGTGGTCAAAAGCAGGCCCATCGTGGAGGACGCTTCCTTCGCAGCGTGGGGGCGCCTGCTCGAAACGCCTTGGACCTCAGGAGGCCAGGGAGACGCTGCACGGACAGAGGGCATGCCCCCTGCGGACACCTCGTGGAACTTCTCTTGGGGCTCGTGGGCGCCTCCTCCTCCTCCTCCTCCTTTTCGCTGCTCCTCCTCGCTCCTCCTCCTCCTCGCTCATCCTCCTCCTCGCTTTTCCTCCTCGCTCCTCCTCGTCCTCCTCGCTGCTCCTCCTCGCTCCTCCTCCTCGCTCCTCCTCCTCCTCCTCCTCCTCCTCGCTGCTCCTCCTCGCTGCTCCTCCTCGCTCCTTCTCCTCCTCCTCGCTCCTCCTCCCCGCTCCTCCTCCTCCTCCTCCTCCTCTACCTTGTGGGCACCCCGTGGGCACCTTGTGGGGCTCCCGCTTGGGACTTCTGGACGTCTCGTGGAGCCGCATGGGCGAGCATACACTGTCGCACGCCCGACCTGCCGCCGGAAGGGTGCCGGTCAGTGCCTCTTCGAAGCGGGGCCTTCGCCCGACGGGCAGTGCCGTCGGGCGCTGGTCTCTGCAGGCTGCGCTGCTTGGAGTGAGTGGGGAGGCTTGCAGGGTCTTATGGGGGGGCCTGGGACGTGACTGTGTGCAGCAGCATTGTTGATGTATCTTGGGTCCACTCTAGTCCGTCCTCGTCCTCTCTCTTCCCCTCCTCCCCCGTCGTCTTCGTCGTCTTCCTCCTCCTCCTCCTCTTCCTTTTCCTCCTCCCCCTCCTTCTCCTCTCCATGCTCCTCTCCTACGGTGCGTAGCCTCGATCGTCGAACCTCGAAGCTCCCCACGACTCGCCGTCGACGTCAATGCCGACGACGCGCCGGCCCTTAAGATGTCGCACCATGACATCCGCAAATTTTCCCCATGTCCAAAGGATGGGGTTCTGGTTATTACTCTGACCGCGCCGACTCCTATCACCTCCTCCTCCTCCTCCTCCTCTTCTTTTCCACCCAGAGACACACTCAGGGTCCCTTCGTAGGACATGGTATGATGATGATAACTACGATGCTGATCGACATGGTGATGCTGGTGACGATGATGAGGATGACGACGCTGACTATGACGATGCTGACGATGGTGAAGATGATGACGAAGGCGGGGACGATCATGCTGCTGCTGATGATGCTGCTGCTGATGATGATACTACTGGTGGTAATGATGATGATACTGATAACGGTGTTAGTGATGATGGTGACAGTGAGGTCGATGATGACCTTAATGATAATGTTGATGACGATGATCATGATTCTTACGATGATGACGATGCCGATGATGACCATGGGAGTGATGATGAGGATGCTGTTGATGATGATGACAACGCCGATTATGCTGCTGATTATGATTATGATGGTGATGCTGCTGATGATGATGGTGATGATGGTGATGATACTGATGCTGCTGCTGATGCTGATGCTGCTGCTGCTGCTGCTGATGATGATGATGATGATGATGATGATGATGATGGTGATGGTGATGGTGATGGTGATGGTGATGGTGATGGTGATGGAAATGGTGATTGGGGTCGTGGCGGAGCAGAGTCTGAGGATGTCTCGGGGGAGGCGCTGGTTTCAGCACACCCGAGGGGGGGCCGCTAGGGAGTATCTCACTCGTCCGTTCGCGCCCAGATTGCGGGGATCTCTCTAGTGGTTGGTTTGCCTGCTTCGCATCCTCAAGATCCGGCGCTTTCGGGGCGGAGCTTGAGGGTATCTCGGGCGAGGCGCTGGTTTTCGCACCCCCCATGGGGGGGGGCAGAAGGGGGGAGGAGCGGGGGGTCATGCTGATGGATACAAGGACGATATCGACGACGATGACGACGATGATGCTGATGATTATACTGATGATGCTGATGATGATCGTGCTGATTGCGAGGATGTCTCAATGGTGGTGGTGGTGCTGATGATCGTGCTGGTCATGGTGGCCATGCTGATGGGTACAACGACGACGGCGGCGACGATGACGACGATGTTGCTGATGATTATGCTGATTATGATGGTTCATGGGGGGGTAGGAGGAGGAGGCGGAGGAGGAGGAGGAAGAGGCGGACAAGGAAGATGAGGCGGAGGTGGAGGAGGATCATGAGTCGGTGGTGGCGCTGTTGATGCTGCTGGCACCAATGATGATGACATCAATGATGATGATGGTGGTGGTGATGATGATGATGATGACGATGGCGATGCTGATGATGATGATGATGATGGTGATGCTGCTGCTGATGATGATGATCATGGTGACCATGATGCTGCTGACGAGGGCGGGTATGATGATGATGGTGATGATGGTGATTATGATGCTGCTGATGATGAGGATGATGTTGACGAGCAGGATGTTGGTGTCGTTGTTGATGATGGCAACACTGATGCTGACAACAGTGGTGATGATGACGATGCTGATGATTATGATAATGTCGATGATGCTGA